ATATATATATATATATATATATATATATATATATATATATATAATATATATATATATATTATTTTACGTTTTAACATAAAATAAAGTAAGCCAGAGAAAACATTTGTATTGTCTTTATTGCATTAATGAAACTGATGCACTTATAAAAACTTGAAACACTAGAAAGCTAAAACACATAAAAACTCCAGTTTCTTTAATATTTCTGTTCCAATTCTGGACAGAAAAATCATATTTGAGACAAGAATAGGATTCCCAATTGGTATCGTAATGGAATAATCTATTTTAGGACAAAGTTGGGCACTCTGATTGAAATCTAAGATGGATTTGGAAAAATATTAAGAAATTTCTATGCGGTAAAGCGTTGGATGCTATTGTGGTCACCGGTGTTGATCGGCACTGCGATATTACTGCGTTTCATAAAATCACTTATAAAGTATAATTAATTGCGCCTAAGAAACCAACCGCTAATGGGAAGTCAATGTGTTGAGATAAAAGATAAGATAAAACGCGCATTTCAAATTGCAACGTATTACCCGTTGCCTTCAGCAAGTTTCAATCGTCCATTGCATGATCCATGGAAAATTTAACAGAATAAAAAATATAATCTTATCCTTAGCGAAATTTTCTTGTATTGTGGCCTCAAGAGGATTCTCCTAGAACTAAAAAAAAACTATTCTAATACCTAAAAGAAAAGAATTTCGATTGCAAGACACTGTTTTCTGTAATCCCACGTTCTAAGCAAAAATTTTTATCGATGGAATATAAGAGAGAGAGAGAGAGAAAAAGAATATCTAAAAAATAAAACATATTTATTTGATGGGTATTAATATAATCTATATGCTTAAATCTAAATATTAATTTAAATAGAATAATTGCCTTTTCGTAGAAAGCTAATATGAAATGCTAAATTTAACACAAATGTTAAAATGTTAAATTATGTTAAATTTAACACAAAATTGTTGATAATGCAAAAGAATCTTCTTGAGGTCACCTAAGAGTCACATAAGAGGATTCTTCTAAGGATAAAATTATACTTTTCAGGTGCAGTCAACATGTTAACGGCTTCGTCGTCGCCGAGACTACGACAGACTGAGTAGTTCCGGAGTAGAGAGTACCTGAGAATCCGTCGAGTGCGCTGTTGCCGATCGCCGTCGTGTAATAGGAGGAATTCAATTCAATCGCGACGGTCGACATGGTCGTCAGCATCTTGAAAGCTTGTCGTAGAGAACCGAGCGCGATATTTCCTTCACTTTCACGTCTTGAGCGCACCGGCCAGAGCTTCCTGCGGCTTTTTAGGCCAGCTGTGTGTCTTACGTCTTCCTCTCCACGTGACCACGTATCTCGTACACTCGACGGGTTTACGCTATCGCGTATTTCCACTCGGTGGAGAAGCGGGCCTCGTTTCCCGGTTACGGAACTACGTATTTACAGGCCTCGCATGTACGAGCGATCGTGGCACGTCACGATCACGACTCTTCTCTCTTTCTCTTTCTCTCTTTTTGAATAAATTTCAATTTTACGTCGGCAGCACTTTCGGCCATGCCGCGACTTTTCTCGGTTCGTGCGGCTCGACAAGTCGAATCGCGTCGAGATGCGGCCCGAGAAAATCCATGAGGAATCGAGGCGATATAGGACTTGTCACTAGCCTCGCGCCAGCAACGTCGTACACCGCTTTCATGGGCTTTATTGAAGCTTTAAGCGCCGCTTTCGTCGAGCAAGAGACGACTTTAAGTGACATCATCGAGAGTCGCTCTCTATCTGTCCCTCTCATCCCGCGGTACGTTCACCATTAATTACCTCGGCGCGCCGCGCCCGATGAGAGTACTCGAGGAGATCGCGAGAAATTGTTCGTGTCGCAAACGTCCTGATTGGCTTCTTCACTTAAAACGGGACCCCTCGTTTATAAAGTAGCTTCTGCCCGAGTGGCTCGGATAGCGAGAGTATCAATTTGCGAGAGCCGACGGCGGATGAATGTTTATCTTCTGCAGAGCCCGCGACGAAAGTCGCGTTTCATCACAGCGCGATTAACACGATTAATTTCCCAGAGCTGCACGACATGCAACTACGCCGCCTGCCAGTTTTCGAGTTTACACCTTTGCGCAGCGAAATCAAGTAAGTCGGGCTGTTTACGCGTCAGTTATGAAAGCAGCTCGAGACACGTCAATCGAGAAAAGAAAAGAAAAGAAGGAATACATGATTTCCCTCTTTTCATTTCGAAGGTAATTCACGCGCGAGTTGAGATCTAAGGATTTAATGAGAAAGACCGGCGACAAAGAACGAATACAAAGACGGTCAATAAATCGACTATTATAAAATACTCATTACTTTTCTCATTACGGAGAAAACGGTGTGGTCGGTTTACGCATTAATCTGGCTATGCCAACTGAGTGGTAAAACAACTAATTATGTAGTTGCCGCAACCACAGAACAATCGCTGAGTTGCAGCGACGATATCTGATTAACCGGAGCGCATACTGAAAAAAGGATGTTATACCGAAACGAAAATTTGGCACACCGGATCATAATTTTGTTAGGATAGAGTTTGATGATGGCGACTAAAAGATTTCATTGACGCTATGCGTGTTTTGCTTCTTCAATAATACATGTACATGACACAAGTAAAAATACGATATTGCCAAATATTTCAGTTCAAAATACGATAGTAATGTCATCATATTTTATATAATTTATATATTTATATATTTTATATAATTTATATATTTTATATATTTTATATAATTTGGTTGGAATGGAGTTGGTCGACGTGTTTGATGATTGCAACCAAGAGATTTTACGCCGGGTGTTTTGTTTACTCAATAATACATGCACTTGATATAAATAAAAACACGATAATGTCAAATATTTCAGTTCCAAATACGATAATAATGTTATCGTATGTATTTTATATAATTTGATTAGGTTGGAATTGACAAATCTGTTTGATGATTGTAACTAAGAGATTTCATTGCCGTTATACATGTTTTACTTCCTCAATAATGCATGCATTTGATACAAGTGAAAATATGCCAAATATTTCAGTTCCAATTACGGTAATAATGTTATCGTATGTATTTTATATAATTTGGTTAAAATGGAGTTGACAAACGTGTTTGATGATTATAACTAAGAGGTTTCATTGCCGTTATGCGTGTTTGCTTTCTCAATAATACATGCATTTGGTACAAGTGAAAATATGCCAAATATTTCAGTTCCAAATACGATAATAACGTTGTCGATGTATCCGCGGGGAATGTCACCCGATTTCCGGTTGCCACAGCCAGATTACGCGCAACCACATTGATTGACGTAGTCGACGTGCCAAAGTAATTGTGAGTCACTCATACACATTACCATCGCACAAAAACCAATTAGGCTGGTTGCATCTATGTTGCTCACAGCGAAATACTTCCGGCCACCATATCTCTCCCTTCCACGTGGCGTCCTATTCGCAGGACGATCCATTTTCTCGCGACGAGTAGGTCAGTGGAATTGGCGAGTCGCGAAGATTCTTCCGGGTCTCGCGAAAACAAGGACTGCATCGTCAAGGGCTTCGAGAGCTCTTGTTTCGCCCGATCTCTCGCGCGGAATCACCCGCTTAGCACTCGAGGTCCGATCGACGCGCGACGAAACACACCTGACGCTATTCTGGTGACGCTATACGCTCGTGGATCAGCAGGCGTAATTAAATCCGCCGGCCGGCCGGCAGCTTCGAAGTCATTAACGCTGCACGGTTGCGGTCTTTGATCGACTTCCAAACGGGATTTGCCATTTAGCAAAGGATTCTGCGGAGCGCCGTGATCGCGTTTGCGATCCCGGCGAGCTCCGCTCTCGTCCTGCTTGGCGTCCAAGTGCGTCGAGTATCGCTCGTCAAGTTAACTTCGACCGGCTGTCTCGGAGAGACGCACTTCCTCGCGATTCGGTCCTAATGAAATGTCGACCGAATCAGTTAGTCGGGTCACTCCGTTTTTATGGACGGCTTAATCGGCGGTCGCGTGCATTTTCGGGTCATCGGCGAGGAGGCCGGCTTCCCGATCGAATCGATCGCCGGCGGTGACTTAATCGCCCTTCGCGCGCGCCCGTTAAGCCACTTCCGTTTCTTTCGTTTTAGACAGATGGTACCGGTCGGCCCGAATTAGATGTCGCTCGCCGTGCGATTTATCGGCGCGGTGTTTGTCGCGCGACTCAATCTCGCCCGGTGCAGCGCTCTCAATCCTCACCGGGGAACTCGTCGTCACGTATTTACTAGAGTCGCTCCTGCGAGCGTTCGCGTCTTCTTCACAGGTGGTGGCGGCGTGCTTCTCGGACGCGCACCTCTTCGCCGCCGTGACTTCCGCGACGTGCGCCGATTGCTCGGCGGAATCTTCACGGCGCGTTTCCCGCCACGTGACCCGTCCGCTTCCTGTCATCGGCGCTGTTCCGCGGATCAGGATGCGGCGCGGACACACACACACACACACACGCGCGCGCGCGTCCGCGCACTTGTCCAGGAAAGCCGAACCGCGGCGTGCAAATAGTGCCGGTAAACTGAATGGAACGTGGAACTCAATCCGCCGCAAACTCTCGAACGCGCCTCCCTTTCGTCGGGCATGCGCGCTCTTTTCTCCGCGGTGCGCTTTTCTTTTCTTCGGTACCGGATTCGCGATCGCGCCGATCCGCTCGATTCGTCCGGGCAGTGCGAAAATCGTAGGGGAGAAAAATCGCGCGTCCTGTTATCCATGTCGGCGTGCGCCGTCACATCGTCGCCTAGCGATTGGTCCCGCTCATTCCGCAGGCGAAATCGGCCGAATTGGGTTCCTCGCACAGACTCCTATATATCATAACTGGACTGCTAACTTAGGTAAAGTATATGCTTCCGAAAACTATATACTGAATCATGCGTCGCGCATGTAGGAAGATAGTGGCATCTGATTGGTTGAATGCACATTTGCAAGCATATTACGTACTCCATACCACCTCCTTTCGATTCCACATGCGCCAAGCATGCGCAGATGCTTACTTGCAGAAAGAGAGAGGGTATATAATACATACTTTTCAAAAATTATCTCTATAAACATGGGAATTAGTGGTTTAGTTATGATATAGAAGTCTGTGGTTCCTCCGTCCTTTCGGCGATTTGCATCTAGAGCAGATTGGGTTAGGTTAGGTCTAGATAGTCTCCGGGGCATGTTGTCCATATGCTTCTTTTCAGTATTTATCTTGAGAGGAGCAATGGACATCGTGTTTGTACAATCAGTCACAGTAATTATTTGTCTGAGAAGTTGTAATCTCGAGATAACCTGAAATATGGGCCATCTAGCCCCGAGTTCGTCTACGCGATTCGCACGTAAGCGTACGCACATGTTTGATCAGTTGGTTCCGCGCAAAACAAATGCAGTTCCTCGGAGCGCTTAGCCCTCGCGACGTGGGCCAATATTGTCGAATCGTGCGCGGTTAGCTGAGAATCCACTGATGCGTACGCGAACGCGGTTCAAATGCTGCATTATCGATGTAGCGGCGGCCAACACGCCGCGACGTCGCTGTGTTACAATATTGACGCATAACGGACGTTTCTTATCACACAGGAGAATTTCGACAGCGCGGCAATATCGGCTGACACCGTTTCCCTCGAATTTTCACCCCGACATTCTCGCGCGCATCGTGGATTCCGCCGCGTCGCCTTGGTTCAATCGCGGTCGCCTCGTTTCTCTCGTCGTCGTTACTGATATCGCCAGAACCACGGAGTCATCGGACGTAAGCTGAAATTCCCTCGTAAATGTTTGAAGAGGAAAAGCGAAAGTACAAATGCTCACGTGTCCGATCCTGGATATTGTTCTGATCTTTAAATACGAATATTTGAGGGAAGGAGTTTAGATAGCGAGAAAATGAGAGATTTTTACGAATTTTTCTTAAAGGAATGAATAAAGAAGAACTCAATTTCTTGGAAAAATTTCCGAAATTAGAATTTTCCGACTATCTAAAGCAGAATCTATCCCTAACCGTCCATGTGGTTATTTGCGTCCGTTTTAAGAAGTGTTTGTTTCCAACTAAAAGTGTAAAGGAAATCCCGATATTTTTAGAAATTTTTTCGAACACACTTTAAAGAGAGAAAATCGACGAAGACATTAATGATCCTGGTTGCCATTCTGAAGATAGCAAAAATAACTTATCACTCGAAGAGTCAAACTTTCAACGTAAAATATATGTACATTTAATAAATACAAACATGTTTTCTATGTCGAAAGTTAAAATATTTGTATTTAACGACCAAAACAATAAGAATATCCGTGATTAGACACGTGTCCGAGGATTGGTGCTGTTACTTTGCCTTTCTTTTGTCTTTTTCGACCAGGTAGACAATCGTGAGACCAACGCCGAGTGCGCGGCACGTCATTCCGTCGTACGTCGAGACGTCGCACGCACGTGGCGAAATTTAATCAGTATCGTATCGTTGTGCCGTCACGAGCTTGTGAGCTGTCACCCCCGCAGGTTTTATTTATCGGCGCGTCAAGTGGCAGAGAGACGTCAGAGCCTCGACGTTCATTACATATCTAACTGGGTCGCGTAATCAACACCGAACCCCAGCGGCTTTCGGCATATTGGAGAAATTCGGCCTCGGTACTTGGCCAAGTGCGACCCGCGAGTTTCCCCGCCGAAATTGTCGAAATTCCCGGCGTCGCCGAGTTTTATCGCGCGATTATGACGGCAAACGAACGAGAGCGCGCGTTGCCCGAATAGAGCCCTCCTCTCCGGCGATCGTTTCGCGCTGAAAAAGATTTGCGCGCGAAATCGAGGTCGACTCCTCACGGAGCGCGATACCTTGTCGTGAGCCTTGTAAATCCCGCGCTGTCATTACGCGCTTAATATTATCTCGGCGAACGTGTGACGCGCGTTTGTATGCGCCGATGACGACGACGTGCGCCGCCTCTGGGATCGCGAAGACGGATGATCTCGCGCGCGAAAAATGCTGCATTCTACTTATGCCGATCGCCCGGTCAATCGATCGCGGCATTATCACTTGAATGGTCTGCTGAATAATGCGCTGGTGTACGTTAACGGCGAAAGAGATAGGTAGACAGAGAGAAAGAGAGACTCCGTTTCACTTCTTCGTGTTGGTACGCGCGCGAAACATTCGGATCGGTGTTTCCTACATTAGGCAACTCCTTGCGCCGTCATTCTTCTCGCTGAACGACCGCTGAACATTTTTTCCGCACCGCATCTGGGTTAAGCGCGCCGGCGGCTTGAGAAGTCGGCAAAGCTCGCCGCGGCGAGAGCGGATTATCCAGCGCGCGCGCGCGAGAGAAAAATACCGTCGAGACAGTTGTGACGAATGACGGTGAACGTAAATTCAACGGTCTATTCATTAGCCTCGTTTAACATTGTAGATCTTAATCATAGCGCGTTTCGCATACGCGGAGTTCCGTGTGAGAAAGTGCGCGCGCTTTACCATAATTCTCGCGAAGTCCGCTCTGAATGCATCCAGAGGCCAAAATTCTACGTGACAAAACAAATGTAAGATATAATAATCGTAATATAAAGTAAAAAAAGAATAATGAAAGAGGATATATAATAATATCAGTAATTAATCAGAGTTCAAAATATTTATTATTTGATTAGTAATCAATCCAAATATTTACACATGGAGGAAATTTTGTAGTAAAAATTACTATAGAATTCTGTAGCCGTGGAACCGATCAACACTCCGTAATTAATTATCCTTTCGTAATTAATTATCCTTTCGTAATTAATTATCCCCTTTGTTTTATTTATATTTTACCAACTGAAATGCGTTATTACAGAATTTGCTATCTTCCATTTACTATATTTCTTAATAGATCTTAGACAGTTTATTTTTCTGCATCACTAAAAACGTAGTAAAATTAGAAAGAATTTATTTGAAAGAAAGAAATATTTCTCTCAATCTGACTTACTGACACAGTCCATTCCCGCTCTACTGAAATTAAATTATATTACTGCAATATTAAAACAGGAAAGAATTTATATAAAGAAGAGAGACTGTGATGTGTTCTCTCCGTGAGCAATGATATACTCTTCTTCGCAAAGCGCGGACTTGCTTCGCCTTCGCGCGGAAACCCCCGTCGAGATTGGTCCGTTGAATTTGACGTGCGAGCTAAGTCTCGTCGGCACTTGCGACACACCGCATAGATTCCCGGTAAAACCGCTGGTGGAGAGTCAAAGCGGCACTCACCGCGACATTACCGCTTTTTCCGCGAAAGTCCGTCCCGGACGCCGAAATCTAGGCCGGCCCTCGCCGGTTTCCGGTCGGATACACTCTCGCGAAATCGGCGCGAGCACTTGTCAACGTTAACACACGTCGCGGACAACGCGGCGACTTGACTCGATCCACCCCCGGCACGTTAGCGAGGCCGAAAATCCCGGCGACGTTACGCAGATTTATCGACGGGACGGCGATTTTTACGCGCAACGAGTAACGATAATTCGCGGATATATTCGCGGTGAGTGATGCCGCGCATGTCACGTCCGCCTGCCAAAGTACACGTTTCCCTCCAGCCGGGTTCTCTATGACACCCTGCATGCGTGTGTCCCGAATCCCGCCCTGTCTACGGAACGACTTTGTGTTTCTAGCGCCGAACACACGTGGTGGCGGGTAGATAAATATTGAGTGGATCGCGGCCAAAAGCCCGGTGACGGTAATTTATCGGAGCTGGTGATTTCTCGCGATCAAGTCTCGGATCGTTCGTATCCGACGGGCGGATTAAAGGATGCCAGCGGATTACGACGGTGAGCCGTGTGGCTTTGGCATGAGTACGAAAGATCGCGAGCGATCTCAAAACCGTCGGTCGCTCCGCCAATTATCTCGCCGAGACATTCGTCCCGGATTCTTCTACTCACCAAATTTCTTCGAGTGAAATTTCGCTCGAAAAGTGGAGTAAATGTACGTTGCTTTGCCTTACCATATTCAGCGGTAAACCTAACCGCGCATGTGTAAATGTTTCAGTGTCTTTCAAAAATTGTCACCTTTCAAATTTTGAACGAGATAAATATTATTCTTAAAAAGGAACAATATGTATAGTCGATTGGAAAAATTATTCCATTAGAGTATTTCGTTTGCTTTTTCACTAGAACTCTCATCTATTCATCGGTTGTGCCACAATTTGTTAAATGCACAATCGGAAGCCACACATCTATTAAAACTGACGATCGCGCGACTCTGACGAAGCCAAAATTAGCGTCGTTGCGCGTCTTAGAGATAATTGAGAATTGTCGCGATCGGCTGATCATACAATCTCGTTTTCGAGACGAATACGTCATTTCTTTCATCGGTCATTTTTGCACACCAATGCTGTGTGCATCCCGGTGTTACGACCCGGTGATGACGCTTTGCGGAACCGTCTGCTCCAGGACGCGACGGATTTATAGAACATCCGTTCGCGCGCGCATCTGTACGCATAGCGTGTGGATTAAAACGTAGGAAGACAGCCGAGCGTGTTCGCGCACACCATCCTCTCAGTCCACGGGTGCAGGGAGGGCAAGGAAGGAGCGGAAAGTGCGAGGATGTTTGAGGTGCCATGAGGAAGTCCAGCGTCTTCTGGGCTTTTAAAAGTCCGCCAATGTTATTGTTGGTCCTGCGCCAGCGTAAGTAATGGCCCGGCCGCGACGCAAATATATCCTTCCGCACTTTTTCTTATTTGCCTTTGAAGTGCAGAGATCGTTTCGCGGGTCGCCTGCATGCCGTTTGAAAGAATTATGGACCGGCCGCGTGGTCCGAGGGCATAGTCCGTCTATTTCGTGCGTTCCCGCTCGCCGTGTGTCCGCCCCGCGGAGATACGTCTTGTCTTGTCCGCGCGATCCCCTCACATCAAAGACCTGTCTCGTCCTATGAGCGAAAGAAAACGTTTGTGAAACTGCGCGCGGCCACGTTAAGCCGATTGTTAAGCCGACGTTGATTCGGCGCTCCGCCAATTATCTCGCCGAGACATTCATCCCGCGATCCGGATTCTTCTACTCACCAAATTTCTTCGAATGAAATTTCGCTCGAAAAGTAGAGTAAATGTACGTTGCTTTGCCTTAGCATATTCAGCGGTAAACCTAACCGCGCATGTGTAAATGTTTCAGTGTCTTTCAGTGTCTTTCAAAAATTGTCACCTTCCAAATTTTGAACGAGATAAATATTATTCTTAAAAAGGAACAATATGTATAGTCGATTGGAAAAATTATTCCATTAGAGTATTTCGTTTGCTTTTTCACTAGAACTCTCATCTATTCACCGGCTGTGCCACAATTTGTTAAATGCACAATCGGGAGCCACACGTCTATTAAAAAGATTACTTCTATTAAGTTATTTCTATTAATTACTTCTATTAAAAAATATGCGCTAATATGGTAAGATAAAATTGTAAGATAATATAACAGTGATCGACGGCACAATAATAATGGAAGAACATGTCTCCGATAAAAGGTAGGGTGGTGCCACCTCGCGCTAGCCGCCGGGATTAATCGAACCTACACAGTCATCAGAATGCATCTTCTTGATGTCTACTGCCATCTATGTTGTCAATATTATCAATATATGCCATATGAAGGACATATTGTGTCTACGCGTTTGAACGTTCTCAATTAACTTGCATAACAATGTAACTCGTAGCGCGAACTGAGGCTAATTACTCACAACAAAAAACGGATTGATTGTCTGGCAAGAAGAAATAATGCTAATTTAAGATATCACATTAGAGAATCAGACACGTCATGTCTTTTTAATACGTTTCACTTATCCAGCCGTTACGCAAGAGCGAGCGTGATGCAAGGAAGATTAAATATAGGATTCTTCTTAGCGGCTGACGCGTCATGTTAAACGAGCTTATGTGTGAGAATCAGGAGGAGTTCTCACAACGAGCCGATTGGCAAAAGGGAAAGGCGTTTGCTTGAGATATTTAGAAAAATATTCGTATGCTGCCGGCTGCTTCTTTCCTCGTTCGGATTCATACGTAAATGATATTTAAAACAAGTTCCCTACTAACGTCACATATGCGTGACGCAACGACTTTTTACTGCAGACCAGCGTCAAATATGTGTGACAGCACAAACCTTTTTTCTACATTCACATTGTCAAACTAAGTCTGTTTTGCAAAAATTACGTAAGTAAATATGAGCTGTGGGGATAACTCTCTAAATAAACCGTGAAAGTGAATATGTTAAACATGTGGCATGGAAAGAGAACAAAAAAATACCGTGTATGAAAGGGGAACTAATAATTATAAATATTACCATAAATTATAAAATGTATGTACCAATAATTATAAATATGTATAAATATATAATCAGAATAAATATATAAATAAATGTATAAATAAATGTATAAATAAATGTATAAATAAATATATAAATATATATAAATATATATGTATAAATAAATGTATAAATATATAATCAGAATATCAATTAATTATATTCCTTACGTGTTACTAGCTCGCCATCGACAGCGGTGTTTATATAGTTACATAACACAGTGAACCAAAACTAAATCGTCAAGACGAAATAAAAAGCAGACGTCCTTGTCCGTTTTTTATCCATCCAAGGAAGGAGACGAGCGAGCCGACCGCTCAAATACCGGAAGAGATCCTCGGAAATCGTATCGCGAAACTTCCAGGTCGACTTGACAGCGGACAATGAGCACGCGATCGTAAAATCTCCGAGTCAGCACCGACAAAAACATTGGCAATCTGAACTTTACGATTTTGCCGGAGGTTTCTCGGATCGGCGAGTTTTGAGAGCACCTGCCGTTCGAGGACGCGTCTGAAACCTTACGAATTCGCGCGGCACATGCATCAGGCGCCTTATAAAGCTTCTAAAATTCAATATTCAAGGTGTGCACTTGAGACAGGTAGTCCGTCGAAACTCGTCACGAAGGACACACCGTTTTCTCATACGAATCGCGAAGAAAATTAGACCGCGAGTCGCGGTGCGCTTCGTGCAACATCGCCATGCGTGCGTTTAACGCTGTCTACATCGGTATCTCGCCGTGATAAGAAGTCGCGACAGCGAGCTGTCTTTTCCGATTTTCCTCTGAAGTCGATCGAGAAGGTGCGATGAGCGCAGCGCGAGCCTGGTGCGTGATCTTCGTGGTGGTCGCCGCATGCACCTGCGGCGCACGCACGGAATGCAGCGAGGCCGCGCAAATTTCATTCCTGACGAGTGTGCACGACGACCCGTCGTGCACCAAACTGTCGACCAAGGGCGTTATGCTGTACGAGGCCGCCGGGCTGCTCGCCGAGGCTCACAACAATCGGACCGACGATTTTAAGATCGGTAAATTCACCGCTCGGTTGGAGAAAAGGTCTCAGTTCGAAGTACCCGACTCAAGTGAAAATTCGGCGACGTGAAGCGATATTTCTGTCACCGCAATCGAAAACACTTGTCCGATATGTTCAGCTGTAGTAGAACTTGGTTGCAATAATTAAAAACAATTGGCCATAATTATGCAAAAGTCATTCAGTCCATAAAATTATGATTTTATGGACTTTTTTAGTTTTTATGGGCAATCCATGTACACAAATGAATAGTCCATACGTCTTCCTACGTAAAATGAAATAATTTAAGCCTCATGAATGTCTAAAATGAATTGAAACACAATTTAATTTTTTTGCTAGTTGCGTCCTCTTTATCCATTTTTCAAGAGCTAAGCTTGTCAATGAATTTCACGTGGATTGGATCATTTTTGCATAACTACATACGGCTAGTTGAGTAGAAACCTCCTGCAGGAATCTTTCTGTTCCTCCAACCGAGTTCTTTTCATCTAGTCTCTACCAAATAACAAAAAATTCAGCTGACACTCACGAAATTGTTTATCCATATATTTTTCTCTCCATAAATTCTTTTTCTAACTATAGAGAACGCGGTTGTAACAATTTTTTTCGTGTGATAACGAAACGCATTTCAGTGTGCCACGATAACGTAGTAAATTACGAATTATCGGGCGGTGAAAATTCGACTCGCTTGCAGAGATCACCGTTTTGGATACTTGCGGTAGCATAACAGGTGCTCTAAAGGCGGCCCTGAAGGCTCTCGTGTGGGCGAATATCAACTGTTTGCATCCACCTCATTACTTAGGTAAATCGACAATCGTCTCTTTTCTTCTATCTACCTTCGTTTTGCGTGAATATCGCAGCCTAATTTCGGCCGATAACAACTCGCCAATTTGACGCGGCTCACATTCGTATAATCGCACGTACGTGCCTCCGCACAAAAATGTCCGTAACGCCTTAAGTTGCATTAAATACTGACTGTAAACTGAAGTACGCACAGTGAATTTAAGTCAACATACAAAGAAAATTGTAACGTAACAAAACCATAATTAGGGGAGACCAGGTCTAGGCGACTCCCTGAGTATGTTTCTCGCTATTATTATCTTACTATTATTATTTTTTATTATCTATCTTGAGAGAAGTAGTGGATACAAAATTGCAAAAAAATGTTCTTCTTAGAACATAAATATTTTTCCCCGAGTTTCATTAAAATTGAAATAAAATTACAGTTAAAAAAATAGAAAAAATTTAATAATAGCAAAGTGAATTTTCTAGTTTCTCGAAATGTTGCATTAATATTCTCCATCGTGACCGAATAAAGTTAACGCGTTGCTAGCTAAAATGAAGTTTCTTGCAAGTATATGATGCTTCGGATAATAAAAGCAGTTTTCATTTATAAAATGAATGAAATCGAGCATATGTACGGATGAAGAAAGGTCGCCCTATATTTAAGGGCCGGCAAGACGGCTGTGGAGATCTCTCGCGGGAACTACTAATCAGGATACATATTTTATATGTGGCCTGCTTTTACCTCGCGCTGCTAAGCAACTTCACACATTATCAGACCAAGATGGTTGTCTTATCATGTGTTTATATCTTGGTTATTATAGGTTAAAATATACGATTAACTAGATCATGGCGATCATTAATACGTAGAAGAGGGCTGCCTCTATTACGTTTGTACAGTCAGTCACAACAATTCATTGCCTGAGAAGTAACTTTGAAATTCTGAGATACGGTAAATCTAGCCCCGGTCTTCTCTATGCGTGAGATCGGGTGTCTCATTATTTACAAGGGTGTAATATGAAGTATACAAAAAAATATTTTACTATAAAAGAAGGTTAGAAGAAGAAAACTGATATATAATTTAATATAAATTAATATTTTATCACAATTTTTATTGCTCTTTCCATAGCATATAGTTTGTTTATTTAGTCACTGCAATAATTTAACTTAAAAAATGTTGCAATGTAGAAAGAGTAATAAAAATGTTTATAAGATGTTAGTTTGACAAGTTAAATATTTTTACCGATCTTCTTTTGCTTAGAAAATACTTGATATTCCTATCTCATATAGTATAATACGCCCGCAAAATCAAGCTTTTGTTACCTTTTTTGCACGTTGACCTAAGTTCACTATTACTTCAGTTTACAGTCAGTACTTGAGGTAACTTAAAGTGTTACGGCTTTTGTGCGAAAGTCCTAAAGATGTCTCACGTTATATATTCAGGAATTATCGGGCCGGACACCACGACCAATGCCGAAGCGGTGCACAAAGTGACCTCGATATTGAAGGTGCCGCACATCGTTAAGAAGCCGTCGGTCTCGTCGTATTTACATCCTTTGGCGGAGGAATCAAACTCCTACGTGGTGCAGGTGCGTGCGCGCGCGTGTGACATCTGTGCGCACGTCTATCAGACGGATTCAATAGATCGTAATTAATTTTACTATTTATCGTGAGCTTCGAAGCTTCGCTCTACGAGTCGAATATGAAAACCGCCAATTCGAGATCTCGGAGTAACGACGGTCGGTCACTGCTGCATAATACGAGATTTGCCTTTGCGTAACGCATTGCTATTGCAACGTGGCCCGTTTTGCGCTTACGCAACGTGTGAAAGTGTTAAACACGACAATAAATCAAACAGTGCAACAGTGGGTTTTTCGCGGCATATATTCGAGCGTTACATCTGATTGCGCGCCGCTCTCGCGATTAGTTTCGCACCATGATGATTCTGACTTTGATTACGTAAGAATTGATTTTTTGCTTGCATTTTTCCAATGTTTTTTCTAATAAGCGATTTTTTGGGGAATCGGTGCTTCATGAATCAAACACGATACTAACAAAATTGAAGCAGTAAACCTAGTGGATCAATCACAGTTGAGAATATCGGCATGGTAGCCGTGAGTCTCTTCTATTTAGGGCCGGTTTCACCCATGGACATAGTATACATAGACTCCGAATGCCCTATGTTCTGTCTAACATCTAGAAAGAGAGCTAGAATAGAGGAGCTACAGTTTTCTTTCTATTTTGGTCACTTTTTTGTTGCGCGTGCATCCATTTCTCGTTTCCATAATATTATAGAGTGCAACAGCACCCCGACTAGACTAGCAAGTAAAAGTCTTACTTAAATTTCATTGCACACTTTGTCTGTGCAGAAAGAGACAGAGAACACAGAGGGGCTGTACATATTGGCTTCACTTTTCTGGCCGTATGCGGGGTCCATGTATACTACGTCCATGGTTTCACCAACTCCGGTTAAGCTAACCGAAGGTTAAAAGCAGCAGAGTAGTCAACTTAAATGCGACGTGTCATAAACAGTGTCATACTGAACCTCAATGAACAATTTATATTCAATCTCGATATTGGCACTTCTGATAGTTAGAATTTAACCATCGTTTGGTTTAACCGGAGTTGGTGAAACCGGCCCTTGACACAAAAGTCGGCGCAAGCATCATCTCGTCTTTGTTCCTCACAGAATGTGAAATAAAACAAGATAATGCTCGTACTGACATGTATTACCAGAGGGAAAGCACCATGCACAGGATGTCTGACGATAACATATATAAGTTCCTCGTGTACGTGTAGATTAAGTCCAATTTTGAACAAGAAAATCTTTAAAACGATTCCTTCTGACAGAATCATGAATGACGTGAAAGAACATAGTAAACTGCGCGAAAAAAAATCTGGCGGATTTCGCTAAAAGCGCAGCAAGCCTTTCAATAGCACGTTTCAGTTCCTAAAATGGGGTACAACGGGGTAAATAGCGGGGGAATTTGGATAATATTAAGTGTTTGCAACAATTTTAGAAAAATATGATATAGCATAAAAATATGAATATATAGCATGCTAACTTCAAACATAAAACAAGGCGTCTCATTTTTCTGAAATTCGTCGCAAACGCTTAGTGTTATCCAAATTCCCCTGCTGTTCAATTTACCCCGCTGTACCCTATAAGTAGCGCATACAAAATGAAAAAACAGAACGAGTGTCGATTTATTTCTTAGATACAAAATCCAGTAAATTTTTCTACAATATTCTCTTTCCGTGCACGTGATATTTGGCGAAAAATCTCGCCTCGCCTTCCTCACTTCAAACGCGATTCTTTTTCCTCTGTTTAATATCGCGTGGATAACGAGTTGTCTATAAATGTAAAACTAATCAGCTGGGAAATGCCAAGGTTTATTGGCAGCGATAATTATACGAGACGGCGCGGCAACGTTCGTTGGTTTCACTCAATATGTCGAATCAAGATGAAGAAACCAACGCCGTGTCACCCCGTAATTAAGCGCAATTTATAATTATGGGGCACAATCGCGACATATTTATTAGAGCACGATACACCCACGCGAGTCGACATAAAATGCGTTCGCGCGATTTCGACGTGCGATTTGTACGTTAGAGTTCGCGTTAGCGTCGTTCTACATTAGTTGCAAGTCTCAAGGTCGCAAGAAAATTGACCAGTCACAGTCAATTCTTCTTTGGTCGTAAAAAGAACGATTGATTGTAATTGGTAAATTTTCTTGCGACCTTGAGACTTGGTCCGGCCTTACTGTCTTCCCTCGCAGGCAATTTTGGCAGTGATAGACGCCCTGAGATGGCGGTCTTTCACGTTGGTGGCCAACGTGGACGACGAGAACGACGACGACGTGCAGAATCTCGCGAAGAAACTGACGATGAGCGCCGTCGCCAGGGACTTGTGCGTCATAGTCCACGACAATGACGAGAAAGGTGCGGAATCGTGTCTTTCGTTTTCTCTTCTTTTTTTTTTTCTTTCTTTTCTTCCTCTTTCTCCTTTGTACTCGTCGAATATTCCCGCTTCCGTTACCGCGTAAATGACACGCGGTCTTCCCCGAGCGGACAAATCGCCGTCGCCGATTACATCGTCAGTTATCCCATTGACGCAGGTTACACGTCGCATGTCGTGCATATCGGCGAGCCGGAGGAGAAGTTCCTCCGCGAATCCGCGAACGTGACTGTGTTAATTGTCGACGAGGGCAGCTCGCGGGACCGCTTGAGTCGCATAAATTCCAGCAACAACGTGCTGCTGCTGCTGCTGATGCTGGAGGACTCCAGGTAATTAATACACGAGGACTTCCGCGGCATTTATTCACGACGACTTGGTGTCGCATTTAGCGCGTCACTCAAAGCGTATAATAATTCCCGGGCGATTCAATGTGCAGTCCGAGTAATTTTAATGTATTATCGAGATTACATAACGGATAATACGGATCTATGATTGAATTCATAATCATCGTAATCTATAGAATACGTTTGGATAGCTTTAAATGCTTATGTATCTGCAATATGACGCGATACGCGCATTTCCCTGCGACGTGCTACTGCTTTATTATTAATCGCTAACTGCACCATGGCCGGATTACGTGCGCGAAGTTAATGAATTATTGATTATGATTGCACATATTAGAGAGAGAGAGCGAAAGAGAAAGAGAGAGAGAGGGAAGGAGGGGAAAAGGAGGAAAAAAGAATAGTGAGAGACAGACGAGTAATTGAGCGTGAAAGGCTATCCTCTTTGTGCTTCACAAAGGATCTTAACGGGACTGAATCTCAGCCGACTCATTACGCGAGTAATTGATGAAATCCGATTTTTTGTGTCATTAACATGCGGTGCGCCACCACGTCGTTTGCATAAGCGCCGCCAATCTTCTCAACGTAGAGAGAGACACGCGCGGATACACATTTCCTCTCGACGATCTTATCGTCGCCTGCTTTTCGCTCTGAAAAGAAAAAAAGTTCCGGGAAGACAAAAACAGACGACTTCCTTCGACGGCGCCGATTATACGCTCCCTGCGTCGCGCGAGTACACTGAGAAAAAATATTTGAACATTTCTTTGTGGGATATAAAGTTTATTTTTATAGAATCAACTTTATTTCTGTACGGAGGAGGAAATCTGATTGAATCAACACGACACATTTGATTAAAAGAGTTTAGGTCAAGGTAAACAGCTCTTTCTGTGTGTGTGTGTGTGTGTGTGTGTGTGTGATTATAATGAGATATTCTGGTATGCAAGCAAAACATTTCGTTATAATACTGGTCGGAATTTCATTGCTGTGTAGCAATAACGTTCAAGTATCTTTTTCTCAGTGTAATTTCGCAGCTGTAACTCGACTTCGCGCTTGCTGTTCGTTCCGATTCGCAACTTCTGCTACTTCCGTCGCGCTCTTAATCGAGGTTAAGGATCCTCGATCAAACGGCTGGTTAGAATTGCCGGTATCGCTCCTTTTTTCTTCCTCCTTCTGCATTTGAATGTTTCAGTCTTCGGAACTGCGGCAGCTGTTCGAGGTCATTCTTAGGTCTATACGTGGAGAAACCTCGTTAGTTAGTTAGAAACCTCGTTAGTTCGCGCGAGTTTGCTGCGCGCTTACGAACAACATTTGCATTAATGAGCGATACATTACTGGCATTACGAAGTGAATGATACTACTAAGCGCGCGCGCGAAGTTTACGCTGAAAGAAGAATTTTACTGTTGACACGAGAATGTGATACATACCGGACCAAAATTTGGTTAAAACGGGATCAAATGGCCAAATGTTTGGTAATTGCAATCAAAAAAATTAATTGTCTCTTATGGACTTCGCTTTCCCGAGTCGGAATTTTGACTTTATATTGAACCTTGAATTTTACACCGCAGTAAGAGCTAAGATAGCAAGGTAAGTTTAATTCTAATTCTGATATAATTTACTCCTACTTTGACCCTGATGATGTCTGAAATTTCCGCTTTCGCTTTCTTTAGCGTTAAAGTAAGTTTGTATAATAGTAGGATCTTAGGAAACAAAGTAGGTTTAGTTGTGAACATCTATTGAAGCTTTAGCTCCTACATAGAATATATGTATTTTATAGAAATGTTTAAAAAATTTAATAAATAACGAAATAGAAACGTGAAATAGTATAAAATATACATTTTATTGCATAAATTTCAGACATCATCAGGGTCAAAGTAGGAATAAATTATATCATTAGAATTAAACCTACTTTGCTATCTTAGCTCCTACTGCGGTGTAGTATTCAAGGTTCAACATAGGATCAAAATTTCGACTCGAAAATGAGTATCAATATCGCCAAAATAGGTTTCATCTAGGTTGTAGATTATCTAAGTAGGCTCAAATTATTTTTAAGAGCGTCAAAGTAACGTGAAGATTTTGACAAGACAGAATTAAAGAGAAGAGAAAGAGAAGTTAATGAGTATCATCGTCAAAGTAAGTTTTATCTAGGCTATAAACCATCTAAGTAGGCGTAAACTATCCTTAAGAGCATCAAAGTAGCATTAAAATTTTGACTCGGGAATTCTCATTAGTATGTTCTGCTTGAAATAAATAACATGATAATGCTATTCAAGTCGTACATGTACCAAATATTTCAATTCCAAGTATTGAAAATAATTTTTTCAGTGCATCTTCTCTCTAACTGTTTCTGTCGCTTTACCATTGCGTTTCCAGTCTCGTAATCGTTATACAAAAGGATTTCCCAACTAAGGTTTCTGTATAGTTGCGTATCCTAACTGTTGAATATTCTAACGTTATTTCTTCAGAATATTCAAGTCGTTATATACGTGACATGAGGTTTAACATATGCAGCTGAAATTGCTACTCAAGCAGACTCACTCGAGCGCAAGCAAGACTACAAGAAATAAATTGTTCATTATGAGACTGAAATAATGTATTTCTGCAGAATCAACTTCGTTGTAATAATACTTCTTCCTTCGTTATAATACTGGTCGGAGTTTCGTTTCTGTGTATGTAGTAATAACATTCAAGTATCTTTTTCTCAGTGTAACTTCGCAGCTGTCACTCGACTTCGCGCTTGCTGCTCGTTCCGATTCGCAACCTCTGCTACTTCCGTCGCGCTCTTAATCGAGGTTAAGGATGCTCGATCAAACGGCAAAGTGCCGACAATTAGTATAACGGAATTACGTAATTAATTCGTGAACTGCCCACGGACATCAATTCGATTATGGAATTCAATTAACGATTGAATGAAAGAAATCGCGCCGTTGTCGTAGAGCATATCGCGTGCATGAAATCGGCGTGCATTTAACAACGGGTGTTTCACGTTAAATTCTTCACCGTCAGAAATGTAATCAACGGTTTGGAGCGGAGAATCGAGAGTTCGCAGTGGTGGGCGTCCGAGAACGCTCGTGGAAAGTACGACGCCGAAGAATTGAGGCAAGTCAGATGGCTCGAGGACGCCGTAGGAATTTACACGAAAGCTCTCAAAGCATTGTGGTGAGTTCCGCGAAATTTCACGTCGACGATGTCACTGATTATCGAATATATGTTCGCAGTAAGCATAAAAATGAATTGAGAGTGACAATATTAAGGGGGTGTCCTTATTATTGTACTTATACTTATTATTATTATGATTATTACTAAGCAAAAAATCGATCACAATCCATTTAGAAGAAGTAGTCAGTCATTTAGGTTTTTGTGGAATTATAAAGGATTAAAGTTGAGGCCTTCTGAAAGACGCAATGCAATTTCCACAGAAGTCACCAAGACAAAAATACAATTTTTTGTCATTTATTGTCACAGTAAGAACAAGAAATGCAAGAACCAGATTAATCCCTTGGACTGGAACCACATGGTGTCGAGCGTCTTAATGGCGCACAACGTGGAATCGCAGGCTGCGCCGAGGTTCCTCGATCTGTCCATGAGGAAGAAGACGGGCGACTTGGAGCGTCTGGGTAGCGTGATCGTTCGCAAGGACAAGGCGAGAGTTTATTGGGGCGAACAGAGTGGAGTGTCCCAGGAGAGAGACACGAAAGAAGCCGGAGGTAACGACGATACGACGGCGGAAGACAACTACGAAGACGTGCCGTTCGCGTTCAGGGAACTCCTGAATCGAGGGAATGAACCGCGATCGGGATGCGCCGTCAAGGAGATCAAGATGGTGCACGAGAAGGACAACGAAACGACGCAAGTTCTCGTCTCGGGAATGGACGACAACGAGTGGTGGACGACGGTATTTTTGGCAGATCATTTCATCGGGAGTTATCCTGGATTTTTGGAGAGAATTTTATAGTAAACCCTGAGTGGGAATTTTGATTCTACTTTCAGCCTTACTACTTACTTTGGATATTTGGAATTATTTACTTACTTACTTTAGATTTACTTAGCGGAATAGATGCTCAGCAAGATACATATAGGTCTCACTAGCAATATATTCCTCTACTAGAGAAACATAACAAAATTGAAAAGAATATCTAGGAAAAAGAAGAACTATAACATTCTCTCTGTATGAGTGCGAAATTTTACTTCATTGTTCCTACACAAATAGTCTAAGTAGATTGATTCTATCATCAAAATATCATTAACAATTAATATATATTATCAGCTGTCGTGTCAGCTATACTCTATAAAAAGAAAAATGGAAATTTAAGAATTTGGTGAAAATAGGACCAAATGGCTAAATTTCTGGTAATTGCAACCAAAAAATTTACTTGTGGGCTTTGTTTTCTCACGAGGAAGTCCTACTTGAGACAAGCATAGCAATGCCATCCAAATCGTATGTACGAAATATTTTAGTTCTAAATACGGAAATAATTTCTTCAGTGCATTTCCTCTCCGAATCAAGGCCCAGTTCCACAATCTCCAATTAACTTAACTGGCTAGTTATTCCATTAGACTTGATCAATCGCATTTGACATTAAGAAGAGTTAATTAGAATTACTATTGGAATTTAACCGGTAGTTAAAATTAAATGGATGTTGTGGAACTTGGCCTAAATGCGACGCCGTGTCAATCTCACAGTGAGAAATCCTCACGGCGGAGCGCGCTATTTGCTGTGTACTTTCGCGTGTTGCAGGTGTGCACAGTGAGCGGTGTGGGAGTTGCGATGTTCCTGATGGGTATCCTCGCCGTTTACGTTATCTACACGAATATACGGAGTTCGCGGTGTCCCAAAGGTAAGGATCAACTGGACAGGGACACCACCCTGCGAAGAATGAGCAACGACCAGGAGTTACCGACGACCGTAACCGTCCGCCATCAGCGAGCGTTGCGAGTGCTGCAAAGAACGGACAGCGACAGGACTACCATATCCGAGAAGAGCGTGTGATGTCCCAGCGGCGTCGGGGGTTGGTGACTCGCGTGAATAATAAATGAAACAAACGCTCCCTGGTCTCTCCTGTTCTGTCCCAGCGAAAGACAGAGCCGCGAGTAACATGTTTTTCGAGGTAAAAACGCGAAGTCAGCTTGTCGATAATATAGTTCTTGATTCATTAGTCACGTTAATTGCGTACGCACGAGCATTCGAGATTGTGTTGGACAAATAAATGGCTCGTCAAGTCTTTTAAACGAACTCCGAAATGAATCCCAAAATTGCTAAAGTGAAGGGTAAGATCACTCTCCCGAAGCGAATCTAAATTTATTCCAAGTTAATTGTCGGCGAATGCACAGCTTATTGCTCGTTGGAAGCCGCAAGTTTGCGGTTTCGTCGTTCTCGTGCGGTTGCTCGACGGCGCGTCGCGCCACTGCCTGTCATCAGCGAAAATTGTCCTTCGTCTTTCCCTCGAGTTTACCGTAGGAAACAACAGAATGAAATTTCCGGCATGTGTGGAAGCTCACGTGCGTTAGTGTGCGGCATGCACACACAATAGGGGGAGGTTACCGCGGATGTGACAGATTAAGATGGTAAAATGGGGTTATGCCCGACTGGATGGGTGGATAGATACCAGCTATTGTTCTTGCCACTTGACGCAATCAGAGAGTCAATTAAGGTTGCGTAACACGCAAAATATCCACCTAACGCGTCGCGGCCGTGCAAGATAATCAGATATGGGTTCTCCGGCAGAAAACGCGACCCGCCGATGCGCGAACGTGTCGTGCGAAAAGTACGATGCACTTACGCCGATCATACAGGATAACCGTCACGAAATGTTTGCGTTGCGTGCGTTGGGTGTACGAGACTGCAGCGGCTTGCAAGACGGGCTCAGACACGATGAAGTTGGGAGCACGCCAAACTTCAGAAATTCAGAAAAACTTCAAAATTCAGAGATTACGGAGAAACTTACACATACGTCTAAAATCGGGAGATAAGATATCTTAAAGACATCTTAAAGACGTCGGAATATAAGATATCTCTAAGACGTATTTAAAACGTCTGTAAGGTATCTTAAGTTTAGATCTTAGACATTATGCTGTGTTAATGTTATGGAAATGGAAATGGAAATGGAAATTTTATGGGAACACTTAAGCAATAATAATGTCATTAGTAATATGATTAAGAATATTAAATAATAGTAAGCAGTAAAAATAAATAATAATAAGAACAATTAATGAATAAATCCGTCACAATAATGACTCTCAGCGTTGGCAGTTTGTTGTGCTCCCAATTTCATTACATCTAAACCGTTTTGCAACCCACTATGAGTGTGTTCGCGAAGATGCTATTTAGCATTACGTAATGCTACGGACTGTTCGCGAAGCTAAGTGGTATCAAACGTTATCCTGATGCCACTAACGGTAACGTTCTACGTCATAATTACGCGCTATTAATGCTCTTTTTTGTAGTGTATTATTAGCTACTATTCATGGACTTCGAAGTCACTATCGCTATCGCACTATTGACTTCGTGAACAGCGAAGTTTCTTGATAGCGTCTGCGTCTGCGTTTGCACTGTTAAATATTGGAGGGTCAGATTTAAACCAATTTCTTGAGTTAAATAATATTTAGTTATTTTTAACTATCATGTGTGTCAAAATTTACTATTTTAACACAAAACATGTGTTTAAAAAAACAACCACATCGGATCAACCCATTTAAAACAATATTAAGTAATCAACTCATTTAAAACAATATTAAGTAATTTTTTACTAAAACAAAGGTTACATTAACGTGCACATAATAAGAAATAAACTAAATTTTAGTCAAATTTAATACATTTCTTAAGTTAAATTATTTAACTCCATTACATTAGTTAAATTAACGACATATTTAGTAGGAGCATTGGCGACTTATAGGAATGGTTAAAAATAACTCAAATTGAGTATAATTTGACACTACGGATTTAACAGTGTGCGTTTGCGATAGTAAACTTCGCAATTGACGACGACGACAACGAATGAACGGACGAACAGTTATATAGAAAATAATTCGACCCAACTGGTTGTGGCATTTAACGGCGAAATACCAGTAGATTAGCCGCAGGGGATAAGAAGCGACGACAGGCATCTCAGGAGAGTTGTCTGCAAAATACGGCAGATGTTCGTGGAATGACAGGTAAGTACAACAAGTAAGCTAAAAGAACAAATTCCCGGACAACTACCTAAACTTGGGCATTTTTATATTGTCTTGATCTTCAAATTATGAATATTTAAATTCTCAAAATTCTCAAGAATATATTTTTCATGTTGAACGTTTAAATATTCGTATTTAATAGCGTGTCCGGACATTGGTGCTTTTACTTTAAAATTACGAGAAAATTTGGTCCAGTCTCTCGCGTTGCTGACGAACATTTCCATTCTCACGTTCGACGAGAGATCGAGGCCTTGCAATAGCGATTTTCAATTTCAATAAACGCGACCAATCCTTGCAATTAAGACGTTGCAACTTACGCTTGATCATTAAGTTGTCTCGTTGCAGTCGACAGATAGACGTTAAGCTTCTGGGAAGGACAACCGCCTGTTACGAATATAGACTGATTGTATAACAGCTGATCTCGTGTGACCTCAGAATTGAATGGCCCGCGGTGATTTAATCGGAATCGCGGTAAGTCATGAGGTTGTTTACTCAGTGTTGTGCACACCCGATGATCTATTCACGTTTAATTTTTATTACACGCTCGTATGTCGCGTCACATTTACATTGCATGACGTGTACGCACGCACTTTAGCCGACTTGTCATTCATAAAACTGCGTATAACGGACCTCCAGGTGCTCCGAGAAGCGGCTTGTGTCATCGGGAAACGCTGAGCATCGCGGCCAGGTAACCGGCAAACCGAGGAAGCCATATCGCGCCGGGATTCCCTTCTGTCGAAGGCGCGACTACCGTTACGGCTTCACTCCGACACATGTATCATGAGGAAAAGATCGTTCTCTAATCACTGAGAGAATTCATCCTATACAAAATTAACAAACGGATATTTCTGATCAAAGTATCGATCAATTTTTATATCCGACCAGGATATCCGATTAAATTTAATCGAATACATCGCCGATCATAATGGCGTTTCATCAGTTAAATCGATCAAAAAATTATGAACCGATATTTCTCATTGGATGTTTCCTGATTGGATACAAAAATTCATCAGTGTCTTGATCGGAAATACCCGTTTGTTAATTTCTTATCGAATAGTTTTTCTCAGTGTGGAGCCTGTTTCCGATCTGCGAGTCACTGTTCGATTTAAAATCGAGCGATCGTCACATACACGAAAAGTAATTATTTCGCGTGTTACACGTGCGACTTTTTCTAATTCATTATTACTTCTACGCAGGCACGAAGAAGATCTTCCAATGAAACACGAAGACAAGCGCGACCCGTGGACCTTGAGTCCCTCGTTGCTTTCCCCACAAGTTCAACAAACCTCAGGAACCTACAACGCGTCACATCGCCAAAGAAGATGCGCTTAGAAAATACTTTGCATTTAATTGCATAATAAGATAATTATCGGCGGAAAAGACATTTTTCTAGCAAGCACTGCCACAATATTGTTAATAACAACCTCGTGTCAGTGTTGGGCATTAATCGATTAAAATTTTCTTCGATAATAGTAACCGATAAATCAGTAATCGAAATTGATCAATCGTCATACATAAAATTACAAACAAGTTTATTAATCAGCAAAATGAATTATTAATCGAACTTGGATGCGGTCAATTATATACTGATTTGAAAAAAAGATGTTAATCTCATCGCAAATTATAATTATTTCCGGCTTCAATCTTCTCGGCGTTCTAACAAAATAGCAGCAATAGTAGCGATATGAATTATGCGATATGAAGTAATGTTGGACATTAATCTCGATGAAAACCTCTTCTGATTAAAATAACCGGCGAATCAATAAAAAAATTAATCAATTGTAATATATATGTAATCGCAAATAATTTCTTAAAATAATTTTGTCAATTGAAGAAATTATTTGCGATTACATATATATTACAATTGATTAATTTTGATTATTGATTCGCCGGTTATTTTAGTCAGAAGAGGTTTTCATCAAGATTAATGTCCAACATTGCTTCATATCGCATAATTCATATCGCTACTGCTACTGCTATTTTGTTAGAACTGCGAGAAGAGAGATTGGCGCCGGAAATGACTATAATTTGCGGTGAGATTAACATCTTTTTTTCTCGCAGTGTGCGAAGACGTCGCATCGGCGAGATCGTCGAGACGCTTTTCTCGCACGCGACAAAAGCGAGCGATTTCGCAGCTCCCGGTTTCACCGGCAATTTTGCGCCCTTCAAGGTGCACGAACCTGCGCACATTCTTATTGATCGCATCCATTGTGGCAATAGGAAGATTACGGTGTAATAGGAAAATCAACGTCTCGTTAGCTTGGATTCTCTCCCCTCTTTTCATCGCATTAGCACGAGCTGCCAAGCTGAATGACTAATGACATTGACGCGCGTCTCTCACAAAATCAACGCGGGATATTCCAATTAACGTATCGCCCTTACGTCTTACGACCTCGTGAAACACGCTTTTCCTCTCTCCTCTCTGACGTGATTCGCGGTTGGAACTCGATCCGAATCGCGAGTTTCGGGAAAATCCGACCACAATGTAACGTTTACTCTCATACGCAACGTTTCAAATAATTTCATCAGAAGACTGTATATTTTACCTTCGTTTCTCCGCGGTTTACAATTAGCTAAATTAAGCTTGATTGCCGGACAGAACACAAGGTAAATGCGGTAATCAATCGTTCCAACGACATGACGTCAATCTTCAATTTTCCGCGCTTCAATCTTCACGACAATGTACATTCGGTTATTCAACAGTTTGCACATCTTTTATCGAACGACGTTACGATACATCGAGCACTCAGAATTAAAAGAAATACTGTTGACATGTACGCGCAGTATAATCAGTTACAAACATTTAAAAATTACCTCTCAAATTATTTTATTTATGTATATTATTATTGGGACAATATTGTTGTCCTAATTTAAAAGAAACTCTTTCTTACAACTTTCACAAATGCCACAGTCTGTGTTGTCTCGACTCCTATCATAACGAATTGTTGCGCAGCGTATATACGTCAGCAATGGCTTTCAATCATGACTACTTGAGGCGTTGCAATTTTATTCTGTAAAAAATGTGAAAACCGTTTAGTAACCGAGTGTATATTGTCCGGCGTAATAGCCTTAGCATTTAGTAGACCTAGTTACAAAAGCATTTCTTGACCAACATTTCTACATATTCGTAGAATAATATTCTGAGGAAGCAACACAACGTTAGAACATCTTGCACATTAAGACGAAGATCGCACAAGTAACTCTAGTTATAATGGTCTAATTATAATAGCTCCAACCTTATTTGTACACGCATAAAGCTGAGAATTGTATAACTCTCAATCTAAAGAATGGTAGACAATCATTACTGACGGGCTCTTGCCTAACAATTATATTATTAATCATTATTATGATTATACTTATTATTATTATTTAATGTTACTATTATTGTTACTATTAATGTTAATATTATTACTATTATAATTTAAAGTTATCTATTATTATTTATGTTATTTATGTTATTGTTATCTATTATTTAATGTTTTTAATTATATTATTAATTATATTATTATTGCGCGATTTTTTCTGTCGACTTTTAATTTTGACAGTTTGGTGAACTCCTAATTTCATCATGTCCAAACCATTTTGCAGCCCGCTGTATCTCCGAGAAACGTATTAATAATTGTATCGTCATGTCGAGTCTATCTAACAGTTCTTCCCACTATTTATATCTCCAGTTTCGTCTCGCAGGATCGTCATTCGATCTGGTTGCGCGTTCATTGTTAGGAAAGGCACACTTGGACGAAAGAGGTCTGCTGCAGTCGGGTTTTCCCCTTTGATACATTCTTATTTACTTTGATACCTGGAACTTCTAGACGGTTTCTTGACGATCGCGCCGCATGGGAAATACTAGTTTTCTCTCAGGAGTGTTTTCTGTTGAGGAAATGCCACGTCATTCCCTACGCGGAATCCATTGAGCGCCTGACATTATTCCGATCGTTACACATTTGCTAACTGCCTGTTATCCGACATTTTTTAATTTTTTATTATGTTTTAAAGTAGACGCATTCGGGCGGGAGCTCAATTGCTATAATATGTTAATCGGCTTGATATTACACGCGTTAATTAACAAGGAACACGCGGATAATTGCGGATCGTTAGCTACTAGCGTAAGTAATACAACATCGAGTTCTCTTTGGATAGATTCAAATCGCGGTTTTAAATTGCATCCGTCGATCCCGTAAACAAATTATATAATGATGTCTAGTGCATAATGCTGCAGCAATGTATGCAGTTAATGTAGACATTATTAATTATTATTAGACACAGTTATTAGCGCATTCCCATCAGTTGTAAAAATACTGCATAGAAATTAAGAAATATAACGAGATTCAGTAGTTGAGTCAGTTTAATATGGACAATATGTGAGCTAATTTTTTCCAGACATATTAATTCTAGATATTAATTCAATTTTATAATGTGCACATATTATAATGTCTATTGTGAATAAATGTAAAACATTTATTTATATTGTTAGAAAAAAGCTTAAAATCGCGTAAAAACATTGAAAGAATATATGAAAAAGCAAAGAAAAATTGAAGAAAATTAGATATTTGACAATATTCAGATCCGTGACAAAGATAACAACTAAGGTCAGGAATAAAAATAAGCAAAAGACAAATGGGATATATATTGAAATATAATGCGATATTAATAATACGTAATTCTGTTGCAGTGAGAAACTATACTGATACTAATGATGCAAATGAAAACTGTCATGATAGTTCAGATTCAGAACCTGATGAAGACGTGGTAAGAAGATTTTACATCTTGGCAGAAAAGGAGAAAAGCAGAAGCTAATCAGAACTCGTGCTGATGCTAGTTTCTGCTTTTCTAAAGCAGAATTCTGCGCAGTTTTCTGCGCGAATTTTGATTGGTCTCTGCCTTTCTCCTGCTTTCCTTCTAAAGTATGAGTTCTCCCTTACATCTTAATTGGGATTCCAAGCAGTTTTACTCTTCAGTTGATAGAAAAAGCTAACATAACAGTAACTGCTCGAAAACTGCAAATTTCTATCAAGGATTGTAATGACGAAAGGATCAGGAGGTAAAAATAAAGGAAGGCCGTATTCTTATGAAATACAACAGATGGTCGGACCGTTTCATGATGCGGAAACCGATCGAAATTTCAAGTCCGCCGCTTCGCGTGAGCCGAATTCGCTTCTGAGACTGATTCAGCATCGATTCAATGCTCGACCTTGCCGCGCTATTAACTGATTGATTGGCTAACGGACTTTAAAAACCACCCGGGCCCTTGACCTCATAATCTAGATAATTCAAGAGAACTTACAAGAAATATTAATTTTGAAATAGTAGAAAAAAAACTGCAAACATTTTCGGGCATCCCCGGATTACACGAGGAGGCTTGTCAGAGAAAATGATTCTTGAGTCACAGCGAGTGACTTGCGTCGTGATGTGCGTCATGATTCCAGAAGATTGCATGTTCAGAAAAAAAAGGTACTTTGAAAAGCTGTTGCAAAATTTGTGTGCACGATTAGTGCGTGCTTTTAATCTTAGTTGAATCTAGGAGCATGTACCAATCAGATTGACGAACTTTACAACAATTGCAAAGGGGCTTTCTCTGCTGGACGCAGTCATTGATGGGAGGGAACAGCGGAGCGAAGTTCATCAGAGTAGCGCAAAGCGCCGTGGGTAATGGTAGTGACTGGATGGATGGATGGGGGACAACGAACAATTCAGAGTCCTCGTGGCGGGCTCGATATAAAAGTACGAGCTGTATCAACCGGAGGAGGCATTCTCTCCCGATATCTCTTTCGCCGATGACCAAACACTGAGGTCTCATTACTTACGACCTGTGGAGAACCGCGCGAACGTCGAGTCGCGCCATTATCAAGAGGAAGAGAAGGAAACAGAAGAAGAAATAGAAGAGTCAGCTGAATAACCGGAAAGTACACCGACCAAGCAAGCAGCGTAGGACAAGGGAAGCGGGAAGAAGAGGGAAGAAGAGCAAACCAGAAAGTTCGAAGAGCCCGGTGCGTTATTATCGCGGCGAAGAATTGGCGGAGCGACGGTTGAGAGGCTGAGAGAGCGGTCGGCCGGTTTGCAGAAAGGAAATCCGCGGGGAACATTTGCAAGTGAAAGGAGAGAAAGAGAGAGACACAGAGACCTGGTCTCTCCCCGATATTTCGACAGTTTGTTGGCGGTACAGTCGACGGAGCGCGACAAGTGTTGTCAGTTTTTACGGAGGTATTCCCCACACAGTTAATCGGGGAGCAGACGCGACCGAAAAGACGAGAGAAGAGAAAAGAGTGACGCGACAAGGTGAGTGACATAGTGTATCTGTGTGCATATGTTTCGCGATAATAATGAGCGAAGTGCGAAATCGAGGGCTGTTTTGTCGGTGAGCTAATGAACTAGAGTTCATTTATTTCTTTTTTTGGCACGGTACAATACCGTAATAGACGACTGACGTTGACTGGTCGATGACTCAATTCGGAAACCCGACGTGAGAGAGAAAAAGAAAGAAATTCGGAATAATCGTGCCTTTGTTGGCGCAACAGATAATAAAGTATAATATTTTTTCCTTTTCTAACATATAGAGTATATTTCTTATTTTCCTCTTCTAACAATATAAAAATGACTTAATTATATTTTTCAATCGAGTTCTTTCTCTCTTTCTCTCTGACTGTCTCTGTCTTTCTTCTCCCGATATGTTTGATATTTGAAAAGTTGGGCAATTTAACAAGTGCTCTTTCCACACCATTATAGTCGATAAAACGCGTCACGTGCATTTAAGTAAACCGACAACTTTGAATCATGATGTTATCAGAGCGCAACAACGCACTCGAGTATAATCGATCTATTGTTGATTAGAAACTCTACACTCAAAAAAATGTTTTACTGGTCTAGAATTCTGAACAGTCACAGTCAAATTTTATGACTGTTTTTTGCTAGAAAACTGTCTGCGATACGTAGAATTTGCAACAGCAACATTTTAGCAATATCTGCAAGCAAATGTAGGTGTGAGCAAGTGTGAGGATTATACATTCGTTTGTCTCTCGTTACTTTTTTGTCTACAGTCAATTTTTATAAGCGATATGACTGGTTTTTTATCCGGCCACAGACATTTTTACTAAATTTCACAAACAATTCCGATAGAAATTTTGTCTCTGTTGTCTATATTGATTAAACACAAAACATACGAAATGTCGCAATATTTACTAGTCTCTGGTCCATCTTAGCTAATTTCTCATGTCTAGATCATTTTTTCTATATGACTGCAAAACCATTTCTTTGAATGTAAATGATAATGCATCCAGTCTGTTAAGCGTTTGTGTCGTACCGTCGATTTGCCGCTTGTCACACCGATATCATCGCTAACATAGCCGAAAATTAAACCATTTCGATGCCATGCGATGCACGATGCACGCGGACACAGGATGACACAGCGTGAAACAGCGTGTTTCTGTTACTGGGTTGAACGATCTGCGCGTATTAGTGCGCCAACAGTTCGCCATTACCCGCGCATTACAAGACGGACCTTATTGAGTTCCTTATTATTTATCAAATGCATAATACAATATTTAGGATCGGTTGTTCCAACTTCTTGATAAGTTAAGCGATAGTATCAAATCGTATGTTTTTCGTAAGTTGAAGGAAGAACATATGGTGAAAGGCAGACATCGATCAACTTACCAGGAAGTCGGAGCAACTGGCTCTAAATATATAACGGACAAACGCAATGAACGGGAACACGTACGGACGGCGCGGTGATTTCGCACGTTAAGTGTGTGAACGACCTTCCTACGCAAATTTCTTTTTCCCTTTTATCGATATTCAAGGCGAAAGCCGCGACAATCCGCAGAATTCTGACGACGGCCTCTTTTTTTCCTTCCGGCAATCCGGTTGTGACGTTTGCATGTTGAATCAGCAGCGAAATAAGTAGTTCTGTTCATTTTCAACAGACTTCTGTACTAATACAGTAAGTTAAAGCGAAACAAGCATACTTTTTTTTACACCAGTTTACACCAGTCTGTACTAGTTCAGAAGTTCTTCGAAAACGAACGGATCTGGTGTCTCACCTGGAGGTTTCTCGGGCTAACGTCGTAGTTGCACGTTCTATACTTCAATTCACACTCGAGAGGGCACTTTTCCATCTTAAACCATTTTTAATGCGAATTCCTGTCGTCGCTATCAAATAACGCCTTTATAAATATTTTTATGGGGGAGTTAATCGCTCTATTAGACTCCCTTGAGATCGTTGCTCGATTATGGATGTGACGCGCAGCTCCGACAGTGTGTGCAAATGCAACAGGTTCTCCCCATTCACGTGGAAGAGCTTACCCTTGTAATTTAATCCGGAAATGACTATAAGTATTACATTTTGTTTAACAACATTGGCAATACTGATAGATATAGCCTCAAGTTCTCAATAATTTTCAGTTAAATTTTCATCTTTATCTTCAAGAGGTTATTAATTCTTCATTTTCCACTTCGCAGACTTTCATGGGTTGCAAGTAGCTTCAGCTTATGTTGATAAATTCGTAGCTTCAAATCTCCAACATTTGTCGTCCAAGTTCAAGTTTGTAAATCTAAAAATCATGATGTTTTGCTTTGTCTAATAATTAGTTGTGTTTCCTAATATAATAATTAGTTTCCTAATGAATAAAATTGATATTCTAGTTAGTTTTAATTAACTGGACACGGCAAAAACCTGAAATCTTAAGGGGATGTCGGAGTGTTTGTAAAACTATTTTAGCTTTTACGTCGTCCAGACTGAATCGATCGGAAAACGCTTTTGCACGCTTAAAGTACTCATTAAAACACCCTGCGCAGACATAATCTTTTCATCGAAAACGAAAAAAAAATTTTAAGTTAATTGTTTGCTAGCACAATTCGTAGGTTATAAAAAATTTCTGCGATGAATATGAAAACAAAAAAATGTCTGCGCACTACAAAATGTTGTAAGGAATAACGTCCAATCTTCAAAAATATGCTTAGAAGCTTTAGAAAAGCACAATTTGTTATGGAAAATTGTTATTACTTTTTGTTAAGATATAGATAAAACAGCAGTTTAGACGTCCATGATGATTCACGGATACTGCGCTAGCGGCGATAGTGCTACAATTGATCATTATAGGTGCGTTCGGAAAGCACGCTACCAACGCTACCCCGTTCTTCTACCTTTATCGCTCCTTAGATACACAACAAGGATAGAATGACGCGGTAGCGCAAACTCCTCGAACGTATCCTAAACTAACTATTTATCTTTATAACTCAGCAATTAAGCCTTGGATAACATTTTGGAAAAGGAAAAATAGTCCTAGAATTCGCTCAAAAATACAATAATATTAACTAAGTGCGATTGTTTTCGATCACCCTGTATATTATTTATAATATATTATAATGTACCATAATCATATATATATATTTATCTTATTATCTATATATAAAATTAAAATGCGTTTAAGCAATTTTGCATAAACTCTGAAAAATATTCTCTCATTTCATAATATTCTGTTATACAGTCTGACGCAAGCCGTACCGATAACAAAAAATCCATAAAAATATTAAACTGAAAGAAATGGGTGAAGTTATTTTGCAAAGACATGAGAAAATTAGAAATTAGTTTTTTTTTTAAACATTACAGTGTTTGTCTGTGTTATAGTATCATGTCTATGCAACGTTCTTGCAACACTTTTTTGTGCTGTATTGCGGTAGTTATTCCATTTTAAAATTTCCTACAAAAAACTCATGAGTTTTAAAATTGCTTAACTTATATATACATTATATTGCAGTGTTGCTGCAATCAACATGTATCAACGTCTCAACAAAATTGATTAAACGTTGAAACAATGTCATTCAATGTCTACAAAACATTGCATTTCAATGTCCATAAGACGTTAAAATATCAAGAAAAAATCAACAATCGCGGACATTTTTACATTATGTTAAGATTTGCGCAACGTTGATTTAATGTTTCTCAATGTAGCTACAATATTGACATTGTTGCAATTCAACATTTTTCGACATTGATTCAACATTACTGTGTTGTATGGGGACTCCGACATCCCTTTAATGGCAAGAACTGGTGGAATGGCTGAAAAGAGTCGCGAAGTGTAATCGTATTCCACTTTGTGGCCTAGAAATCGAGCTTTGTCACTGGCTTGGGTTAAGATCGCGATTTTTCTGAACTCATCACTCATCACTCTGTTCTACAATTTACAGATGGGCACGCTGCAGCAGCAATCAGTCTTGAAGGGTCTACAAACGGGATGGGACAAGGAAAAAGATCTGGTGCATGAATTGTTCGTCCGTGCGGCGGCAGTTCATCCTAACAAGACCGCGATATATTACGAAGGTATTTTCCGTTTCTCGATAAAATGTAAAAAAGAATAAGAAAAGAATAAAAAATCATGTGTAGGAACTACCAAAGCTCATAGGAGTCGATATTGTTGATTATATAATGATTATATAATGATTAATAATTAATTTCGTCAATCAACTTAAATTATTCGTGATTAAAAAAGAGATAAGAGAAAGATTAAATATCGCGTCAGAAATTACAAACTTTACAAAAGTTGGGCATTAATCGATTGAAATTTTCTTTGACATTTTCCTCCCTTGAAATTTTCTTTCTTTTAAAACTTGTGGTGACCATTCAACAACGAGAATTTTCCGATTTGTCAAGTTAGTCTAATTAACTAGTTATGTTAAGCAACAAATAATTGTGATAACAACACGCTTATCGCATCGAAAATAGTCTGCTTGCATTTTAATGTCCTGAAAAAATTATGTATAGATACTACCGGCCAGGAACACATGTTGTCTTTCGACGAGCTCGACAAGATTACCAATCGGTTGGCGCGCGCGTTGCGCAAGTATGATAAATTCGGGGCTTCTCCTCATTCCTCCTCACAATCGTTCGTGGCTGTTTGCGTGAAGCCCTCGGATCGTCTCCCGACTATGTTGCTAGCTATTCTGAAGGCGGGAATGGCGTATCTACCTTTGGACGCGGAGTTCCCGATGTCCAGAGTGAAGCACATTCTGGAGGAAGCTCAGCCATTGATGGTCTTGGCTGAGGAAGGAGGTGAGCAGAAGATGATCAGTTTTTCTTTTATTTGCAATCGCATTGAAAAGATTATTTTTGTATTTGGAACTAGATATCTAGTACACACGATTTGATTGACATTATCATGTTTTTTACTTGTGTAAAACATCTTCAAGCAGGATAAAAGAGCGAAACGCACAAGCGGCTGTTAAATTTTATGGTTGCAATTATCAAATATTTAGTTAATCCCATTTTAGCCAAATTTTGGTCCGGTGCCAAATTTTCGCTTCGACAACAAAATTCTTTTTTCAGTGCGTCGCTACTAGTAATGTCTCGACATTCATCGTTGGTCCTGAAGGCGATGCTGGATGCCGCATAATACAGTTTCGTGGTTGGCACACAAAGAAAACAGGTTTGGTTGGTTTAATCAAATTTCTGGTGAAACAAACCAAACATTCTGGTTAATACTACCTTCTGTTTGAATTCTGTTCAAATTAACAAGCTTTCTGGTTCAACTGGAATTCAACTGGTATCTACCGATTCGTCAATGTTTCACCAGAAATTTGGCTAATACAACCAAACGTTTTCCGAAATGTCTTTTATTCAGAAAATTATTTTATTTTTGACATAACACGGAGTGTGATCTTTGCAGGGTTAGTAACGTTACTTTATAAAAGTAACTCGTTATCGTTACCATTATTTTCTCTAAAATGTAACTCGTTACAGTTACTCGTTACAAATTTTAAAAAGTAACTCGTTATAGTTATCGTTATGTTTAGACCGAATTTAATAGATTTAAAACAAAAAAATAACTATTAGAGTAACGAATTAACGAATTACCGTTACTGGATAAATATAACTACGTTATCGTTATAGTTACCGATCAGAAAAAGTAACGCTGTTATAGTTACCGAAAAAAAGTAACTGTAACGGTAACGACGTTACAAGTAACTCGTTACTTTCCAACCCTGGATCTTTGATGCATTGACATTGTATATAAATTGACATTTGTATTTTCACTCTGCAAAAAACATTTATAATTCTACGAAATCAAAACAGTACAAACTACGAAACTGCATTACGTCGGTATCTAGCAACATCTACAACGTTTTTACTTCCCCGATACATTCATCTTCTCGTTCTGGTTTACGCGAATTCTTGCACAACTTTCACGCGTCGAACGTTCAACCGAGATGAAACGGAAATCATAATAATCGGAAGAAATTGAAATTAATATTGACGACACGACAAATCTCGTTGGTTTTCTGTTACGAAATCTTCTCGTCGGTGGTATCCGCGATCTCTCTCTCTCTCCTTCTCTGGTGCACCGGTCGAGTTTTTTGCCGCAACGGTGGAATTAAATATGTGCAGCGGACTGTTTCAAGGAGCACAATTTGCAGAACGCGGATACATTATATTACAGCGTCATAATTGCACATGAAGGAAACCTTGAAGGAGGGCTTTTTTCCTCTTCTCTCTTCACTCTGGATTAGCGATTTATGATTCGAGGCAACACGCCTTCTTCCGTTCCCATGAGAAATTCTTCCGCTTGTCTTTCACTCTTCGTTTTAGGGTAGAATCACTTTTAGACGTTGCAAACACTGAAAAAAGGATTTGGTTTGACAAAACCAAAATTTAGTTAAATTAAAATCAACCAAATTTTTTATAATTACAATAAAAAAATGTAATTGCCACTATTTTGCCTTATTTTCTCAGTAATATATTTACTTAGTTACTAAGCATAGCAAAATAGCGGCAATTAAATTTTTTTATTGTAATTACCAAACATTTAGTTGATTCCATTTTAAGCAAATCTTGGTTTCAAATCCTTTTTTCAGTGTACGTTATTAATCCCATGTTTTAGAAAGTGCCTATAGAACGTCTAATGGATCACACCTTAAATGAGAGCGCGATTCTTTCTTTCAGCGGACTTGTCGATTTATGAGGGAGCTTTGGTGGTGACTTACGAACAACTGTTGGAAGAAGCCAAGCGAGAGCAAGAGGATTCCCTGGCAATAGCCGAGGAGACCGCGGATCAGCTCGCCATCGTCCTTTACACTTCCGGGAGCACGGGAATCCCGAAGGGTAACGCTTCTTTTCACCATTTCCGCATAGTCGTTTGTACAATATGAGGGTACACGTGAGAAATTCCATTCAACCGACAAAAACTAGAAGAAAAATCAACGCTGACACGCGTCTCATGTGTCGCGAATTCCAGCGCAGAGAAAATTTATTGCGCGCGATATTATGGTTTTGTGTATCCTGATTTATGTATTATCCCGCAAAAAACTCCATCGTAACTCCATCAATCTTGCGACTGTGGCGGCCGCATTTTACTCGCGGTATATCTGATATTATGAGTATGTAAATTAGATTTGTTCGCCGCGGGCGTTCGCATCGTCATATTGCGCGATAATAACAAGAAGCATAGTCATCGAGCTATCTTTAAGTTGTGAAAAAATCTTGCGAGAACACCACCTTGCAATTTTGTGCTGCAAATAAAGTGAAGCACGAGAGAGTGACGGCTCGGACTTAGCAGCAGAGCATGTCTTTGTATCTGTGTTATGTCGATCACGATGAAGCGCATACTGAGAGAGATTATTCGATAAATTAACAAATGGATATTTCCGAACACAATACCGATGAATTTTTCTATTCGATCAAAAAACATCCGATGAGAAATATGAGTTTATAATTTTTTTATCGATATCTGATGAGATGTCATTGTGATCTGATGAGATGTCATTGTGATCGGAAGTATTCGATTAAATTTAATCGGATTTTATGACCGGATATAAAATTTTATCGGTATTTTGATCGAAAATATCCGTTTGTTAATTTTTCATCGGACAATTTCTCTCAATGCACACGATGAGAATTTTACGGATATTCCTTTCCCGTTACAACAGATGATTAAATGTAGATAATACGATGATATAATAATAATATAAAATGATAATTGTTTTAATATAAATTTGTTTCTTCAAAGGTGTGCTTATACCTCACGCCACTCTGCTAAATCGTCTGCAATGGCAATGGCGGGAGCTGCCGTTCGCCGATGACGAGGAACGATGCGTCTTCAAGACTTCCCTCACGTTCGTCGACAGCGTCCCGGAAATCTGGGGTCCGCTATTGCAAGGTCGCACCTTGGTGGTGATGCCGAAGAACGTGACCAAGGACCCGGAGAGATTCGTACCGCTGTTGGAGAAACACGGGGTAAGTCTTTCCTGATACCGTAAACTGAGCATTACCATACCGATACCGTAAGAGTATTCTGTGCAACCAATACGGCGTAAAGTTTGTAGAGAAAAGTCGGTGTTCTGTCGGCGAAGCTTTCAAATATAACGTCCCCTTAACGATCGGAAACTCGCATTTACATATGTAATGCAATGATCGATTCGATTTCACGACGTGTTGATCATTTAACATTTAACATCTATTAAGAGACGAGGTATGTGCTTTACGACAGATGGAAAATCACTCATGTTTTTCCAGATACAACGCCTGGTGCTCGTGCCATCGCTGCTGCGTTCATTGCTCATGTATTTGGGTCTGCAAGTGAGTACAGCTGCATTCTACGCGTACGCACCTCTTTTACAATCCGCTTATTATATGAATTTTATTCCCGCCAGTATTTTATAATATCGACGTTGCGTCATGCGGTACAGAAGGTTATAATTATGACGTGTCACTTTTCTCATCGAGTATCGATGTCGCACGATTATTAGGATAAATAGGTTCTCAACAATTCGCGGTATTAATAATAATACAGCCCGCATGAAAAACATGTTATGATCAACGATTGAGGACTTATAAAAGTGGGCCGTCGGGACCACCTTTCATCTGAAATTTTAAGCAGCTTTGCACCTCTGACATTTCGCGGTGAAGCCAGTGTATTGCTTCAGAAAAGTCCGGCAAATTCATTTTCAATTTAACTTCAAGCACAAATTACGATAAGTGCGTTCACAGTTCGATGATTCTCTCTCTCTCTCTCTCTCTCTCTCTCTCTCTCTCTCTCTCTCTCTCTCTCTCTC